GGAAACACACGTATTCGCTCGCGCAAGAATTTGTCAAAACATTTTTTTTTTTTTTTTTTTTTTTTTTTTTTGTTTAGCGCATGCATTCAGAGAATTGGATAAATTTTAAGACAGTTTCCGTTGGGATGTTTATGCGAAATTAATTGACCGCTGATATACGCTCCGATCGACAGCGTGTTTTAAGCTCTTGTTGGCCTCGCGTGTTTTATACAATCTGATTTCGAATAGAGCCTGGGTTTTGTTGGTGGTACTTTTGTGTTTCAACAGAAGATTTAAAAAAGTTTTCTTACAAAAATTTTTTAGATCATGTCTTGCCTTGCAAAATAAAAAAAAAAACAAATACCAGTCGTTTAATTAAATAGAAACGTTTTGTGTGTATGTACCCATTAGCAAAGGTATGTTTCGCTATACCGAAAAAGAGACTTTTTCTTTCTTTTTCTCTCTTTCTCTCTCAGTCTGTTTTCAAGACTTGATTAATTATTTTTAGGCAGGCATATGTACAAATGTTTTTTGTATTACATCTTGTCACTGTAACGTCGAGACGGGAAAATTATTGACTTCTGTCTGTTCCAGAACCGGTCCAGCAGGACCCGTATACGATATACGCAATCTCATTCTCAAAGATGTCTAAAGAAAAAAACAAACAACGGATGAATTATTGATTAAAAACTGAATAATTGATCAAACAAGTGTTGTTATCGCAATATTGGCCACTTACTCTATTCATATTTGTGACTCTCAGCACTTGGGTTACTTGACCAGACGGCGGAATGACAGTACTCGACGGTGACAACATTTGCAATTGGAATGTCTGCAAGCGAAATATTACTTGTATTAGTTTTGTTTGTGTTAAAATAATATGGCGCATATTGTGTATACAAGTAACAAATGTTATCTAACCCTAGGAACTGCTGCTTGAAACAGAAAATCAGTTAAAGTGATACTTCCGGAATTCTGAGCCAGCATGTTTATGACCAACAGATCGGGAATATCGGGCGGTCTCTCCAATTTGAACGTTATTTTGAGTCCTGACTTGTCCAAGACCACTATGCTCGGTACTTCTGTAACAACAACAATGATGATTATATAATATTACATTAGTTTGCATGGAAGATATATTCACACACGAAATCTCGGTAACGAACCGTTTTGAGCAGTCGGAGTACTGAGCAGTCCGTCCACCAAAAAGTTGTCGGTGGAACTGAACAACATGGACGACGTCGACGACGTCTGCGGTTGTAACGGCAGCGTAGAGGTGGTGGACGTGGGCGAATTCAAATCCAAACTACCGAGTAAGTCTAACAGATCGTTATTATGTGTTACCGCGGTCGAATTGGGCGAAGAATTTTTATTGGTCACCGCCGGCGGCATCACCGTCGCTGTCACATCCGTAGTTCCAAGTAAATCTAAAAGTGCACTCTGCAAAATTTCCAAAAAGGATGTTACATTCCAAAAATGGCTCGTCGCGTATTTATATACGTAATATATATATGATAAACCCATAGCGATCATAAACTTAGATTTCTTACTGAATCGGATGTAGTCGTAGTTTGTTCCATTATTGTAGGCTTTTCGTCTTCCGGTTCCTGTTCGCCGTTCACCATGCCTATAATACCGTTGGCTTGTGGTCGCGCGGTTTCCATCGGTGGCATCCGCTCGAGTAACGCCGGTCGCAAGTGATCGTATTTTCGAAATAGTTGCGAGAACTCGATGCCTCTTTGTTGTAACTCGATATGCAAGTTGCTCCCAAACGTATCTATTATTTGACGAATCTTTCTGAAATGACAAAACGTCACAAAGCACACTTTAGAAACTGTAAAATTTTAGTTTTTTTTTTAATACAGAAATGTGATCAAAATACTAACTCGTGACCTTTCTGGAACCTTGTGCTTAATTTAGTAAGAGACAATAACGTGTACTGTTTTGTAATCACGGTGTTCTGCGGATTCCAGAGTAACCTCTGATACACATCGATGACTTCGTCTTCCGTCAACTAAAATGTTGTAAAAAAACAAAACAAAAAATTGAGAAATTATTATAAAACCGCGATTGTACATACATTCAAATATTTTTCTGCGGGAAATACATGAACTCACGTTGACCGGGGTTTCAGCGTCTTCTGACGGCGGACCGTACAATAACATATCGCCGTATTCACCGATGCACCACGTGGCTACTTGCGCCAACGGCTGTTTGTCGGAAGTATCCTTTTCTAATGCTCTCCAGAGCGCGCCAACGGCGTAACCTTGCTGAGACTGCGTCTCCGAGATCAATTGTATTGTGCAAGCCACCACGTCGTCCCGTACGTAATTGCCAGCCTAAAAGAGAGATCAAGTTTAAGCGAAATTTTACAACATCCGAAAGATGATTCTCATCTTCCGAATTGTGTTGGAAAAATACGCACCGCCACGAGCACTTTGAACAGCGTCTCGAGATGCCAACGTTTATTTGGAGCGAATCTTTCTGCGGACATCACGATATTGCTGCTGCACTGAGCTTTAAATTCCGGATCGGCTCTCTCCAAAAACAATAGCAATTCCTTCATCATGTTTCTGATGTTATTGGAATTCACGAGCGCGAAACTCAACTCCATCGCGCGTCTTCTAATCGATACGTCCGGATCTTTCAGACATTCCTAAAAAGACATGTCGCAAAATATTAACAAGTCAAGATATAAGCGATCTCACACGTAATAAAAAAAAAAAAAAACATGTACAAATCAATCAAAATGTCTTACCAAAATTGTCGATCGATGCCTCTGTACCGCACTCGTGTCCACGTACACCGTTTTCAACAGTGTGTTCAAGGCCACGTATCTAATATTTTTATCGTTATTCAACAAAAATCTGCCTAATATGTTAATTGCTAAAACTCGCAGCCCGCTCTCCGACTTGATGTCCATGATCGACAACACTGTCTCGTAGAGTATCGTGTTGCCGACGTTTTTACTGGTCTCCGTGTTCGTCGCGACTTGAGCAAGCATGTCGTTCATGGCCTCGGACGCGTCGATGTCATTGCGTCCCAAAACGCGAAGGAGACGGAGTATCTTGACCTGCAGGAACGGATCGCACACTCCGGACACGTCGTGTTCGGGTGAATATCCGGCCAGGATCAGATTCTTTAGGATTCTCACGAGGTTTGGCACGATCTGCAATTAAACCTTTATTTTTATCTCCGTTTGATTCCGACTAGACTGTAAACGTACAGTACAACTTGATCATTTACATTAACATTAATGTTGTAAACGCAAGAAACAATCGACAAAACAAAAACCTCCCGTGTAACGTACATTTTTTATGAAACATTTAGATTTAATTTAATTAAAAAAAAAAATCATAATTGTTTTAGTTAACTTAAAATACTTTCATATCGCTCACAGGGGCTCTGTGATTTTAAACGAGATTTTACGAGAGAAAATACAGGGAAAAGAGAGCTCTACACAATTATTAAAAGCTGAAATAAATAATCAGCTATGTGAAAAATATCATCGTATCAAAATGACGCACACACGCGCGCACACAATTTCATGCAACGTAACTAATATAACGATTTAGAAGCTTTTTTTTTTTTATAATACATACAGTAGTTTACTATTTGTAATTATTAGAAAAATAACGTATGACATAGCACTTGTTTATCAAGCAAATAATGTTGATTTCACGTTTGAGGAGTTCTAACGTTTAATCCAAGTAAAAAAAAAAAGAAAAAACAAAAAAAAAACAATGAATATTTACGAATGTAACAAGCGTACATGCAAAGAAACATGAACGAGAGAAGAACATTTATATGCATATTACCTCACGATGGCCGCATTCCTAAGACAAAATCAATGCTTGTATTACGCATGTTCAACCCAATGCAATTGACAAAAGTTTTTATGTTTCAGAGAAACTGTTAGTCTGTTATTAATACAATCGGTTTTTGTTTTTCCACAATTAAACAATATTTTTCCCTCAAAAGGCAAACTCGATGTGTTTGTATATTAATAAAGTTTATTTAAAATTCATTCACAAAAACTCACAATCAATAGCATATTACATATTATAAATACAAAATAAAAAAAAAAAAACTATTTAGAAGTAACGTTATATCACAGAATTTTTATGCTCATAAGATTTTATATTTCTAGAATTTCTTTATGTGGGGCTCCTTTTATAGCCGGGTTTTATTCGAAAGATTTGATTATAGAGATTTTATATTTTAAAAGTTTAAATTTATTAGTTATGTTTATAAGANTTATTTCTTTGTGTTTTACTGTAAGTTATACAGTTCGTTTACTATTTGCACAGGAAATTATCTGTGTAATTGTATACTGATGTAATTCCCCCCCAAAAAAGAGAGCAATAAACTATTCTTCCGCTTCAAAACAGTTTCAACAGATTTCGTTGAAGAGAAAAAGTTAAAACTGCGCGCATTCTCATACTTATATTTAAATAATAATTCACTTCCTACGCGTTAAATAAATTTTTTTACTACTGCTGTATATGTGCACTCTAGACGCTCTTTCATCAGATATTCTATTGCCATCTAAATTCTGCCGTCGGTCATACTAATCAGGTCAGATAGTAATATAGCAGATCGATTACGTTGATCAATCACGTGACGTAACGCTATATCTCTTGACGAGCGGGAAAGATTTGCAACATCTATGTGTTCTAAAGAAAACTAGGGTATGTACGGTCGCGCTATATACGAGACAAATTTATCTTACACACGTACCTTTTTGAAATGATTCAACGTGTCAACGCTGTTCTCGCACATCTCCGTGATGAGAGTGACGCCGGTAATGAGCACACCGTGATTCTTCTCGGTGATCAAGCTGCGAGTTGCCGGCAAAAACATCTCCATTAGCTCCGGCACGCGTCTGATGATCCGAAACGCGCAGAGCGCCGCCTTCTTTCGGATATACGCGTTCGGCGACTTCATTAATCTCTCGACCTCGGACGCCAAGTCCCGCGCCATTTCCGGCGACGCGATCGCGCCCAGAGTGCACAATGCCAGACCAATGACAAACTGCGTCGAACTGTTCAAATCGCTGTAGGAATGAAAATGGAACGGAAATATTAGTTTCCTCGCGAAGGAATATGTACGTTTTTCAAAGCTTAACACATCTTCGATGAAATCAATGTTACTTTTTTAAACAGTTCGTGATCAAGAGATGCACATCCTGCCGTTCGTCCAGCAATAACATGGCACCTAAGTAACCGATCCGTTTGTCCGTAAATCTCGGAGAAGCTATGAGCTTTAAACATTCCAACTGTCCAAAATGCGCTGGATATCTAAAAAATATCAGCAAACACCGTGTCTCTCAATAACATTCTCTTTTATTTTCAAACTTGTGATACTGGATATATCAAATATATATATATATATGGATACAAACCCTAACATATGAATGTACAGCAACTTGGCGATGTTACGACACCTCCACACGCTATCTTCTTCTCTAAACGTCGAACGTATATATGCACACTCCTTATTCACGACCGTTCTCTCTTCTGCCGCCGTTCGTGCAGCCCTTATTTGTCTAATCAGATCCCTCAACCGCGTTGGCGCAGGCATCCTAACTGTTGAGACTTTCAAAATGTGAAAAAGTTATCAGTACAAACTGACACTATTCTTGGCAACAACTGATTCTGCTTGAAAATATAAAAGTTTATAAAGAAATAAGTTACATACACACACACACACAACAGTATGAAATTTCTCCAAAATTTAGATAAAACAATTCTACAATTCAAATATTAATTCTATCGTTCAAACATAGCAAAATCACAAACCAGTAACTGGCAAAAACAGGCAGAATCAGGTGTTCCAACAATCAGCTATTAGAATCACTATGAATTTGATTATACACTGACAATACACATACCTCGTTCCACAGCCTCATTGATAGCCTGTTTTATGGAGGCCATGTTAAAGGCTGGGTTAAACCTGAAAATGTACAGGCTCATGCTGGTTTTATTAGCATTGACACACTGTCTGTCTAACAAATCTACATGTGTGCAATGACACTTTTTTTTCATGTACTTTGTAAATATATGTACATGTAAAATGACATTATTAGGTTTGCTTTCATTGTTTATTTCTGACTATGTTAAATACAAAAAAAATATATATATATATAATTGTATGAGATTATGCATTACCCATGTTCTGAGGCATTCATTGTTTCTCAGCTCGAGATTTTGTGTTTATATGCCACAAGCTTCACAAAAAAACCAAGTGCAGACGAATACAAAACACCAACTCTCTGCTATCCTCCTAGTGGGCACAGGATTGAATTTGCGATATTATAGAGCATTTTAGTAGCATATTATTAATAAAATCAGTGTGATATTATTAAATTTTTAACTAACACTACCGAAAATAACACAGTCACTCACAGTGTCATATGTCAACAAAAAACTACCAGCAAACATTTTGTTATTTCATCCAAAGTAAAAGTTAAAACTCTATTTAGTGTTCTTTTCACAAAACATATAAATTACTACATAATTTGTTAAAATTTATTTATACAAATTTATCTCTGTAATGATGTAATTTTTTTTTTTTATCATTGCATAGAAGGTCGAAAACTTGCGTGAATTAAATCAAGTAAAACGTCTGTTTAAGATAAAAGACACGTAGCCACACACGTTTCCTAAGAATTTAAATTATTCTAATCTCCAGTCGATTATTCGTCATGTGATAAGGAAAAAAAAAAGTGACACAAGAGCACTGTTTTGAAACATCGTTTGCCTCGACGCAAAACGCACAGGACGTGAACAAGATGTCTCAGAAACAAATCCCACGACTCGGTTCTCCTCCGTTCCCGATGCGTTAGAAATAATAATTTTTTTTTCACAACATGATACGAGCGTACCCGGACTTGGAGTTTAATCGGCGATCGCGCGACGAGGAAACACAAAAGAGCCGAGAAAGAGAGACAGAGAGAGAGAGAGAGAGAGCACGAAAGTAGTATAGTATCAACTTCTGCAAAACGAACGTGTCACTCGCCTGGTGATTTCACGTGCTTGGAATCGCGACACTCAACCCGCGGCAATCCACATTGCGAGATACAAAAAAAGCTTTAAAGTGTAAAAAAAAAAAAAAGAAAACTGCGCGAAGGACACAAATGTTACAAACAAAGAGAGAAAAAAAAGAGAGAGGATTTAGTTCCGCGACACCGTGTGTCGTGAGAGACTTTTTAATACTCTTGCGATTGATACGGGTATGCGCTTTGTCGCGAGCGCGACGAAACCAGCGACTTCCTGTGCGACATGTGGAACTGACAGACGTGGACGAGCGAAACACACACAAGAGGAAGTAAAAAAAGTATTCCGCCTTTCGAGGTGGGGTAAGGGGGGCAGAGTTCTTTCTCTCTCTCTCTCTCTCACTAACTAACGTGTCCTATGTGTCGCATTTATATCTCCGGGAGGTGTGAAGTAAACAGTTCCAGAGGCTCTGTTTACATTACAAGACGACGAGACGACACATTATGGAACGAGGGACGAGCCGTGACGACGGCGCCGGGACTCGAAATTTCTTGACCCTCCCCGGAGGAGGAGGTCGTGGGGAGTCGTTGCCTCCTTCGAGGATCAAAAACACCGTGAGGTGAAACACGAACGGTGCGAGGTGCGAATCGTTGCGCCCTCACGTTCTCGTCTCTCTCTCTCTCTCTCTCTCTCTCTCTCTCTCTCTCTCTCTCTCTCTCTCTCTCTCTCTCTCNCTCTCTCTCTCTCTCTCTCTCTCTCTCTCTCTCTCTCTCTCTCTCTCTCTCCCTCTCTCTCTCTCTCTCGTCCCGTGGCACAGCCGAAGAAAAGTATATTCGAGACACCACATCGCCGGCGTGTTACGTTTACGCTCGGGAGGAGGAAAACCGAGATCCGTCTTGGACTCGGCGGGACTCGTCGGCGACGACGACGACGACGACGTGGATACGTACCCGTTACGGAGTCGTTAAAATTTACAGTGAAGAATAGAGCTAGCTCCTAGTCCGCGGTGCGAGCTCCATGAATACGCACGATCTTGCTGCGCTGCGCGAAAAAAAGTCCTTGTCGACAACAAGAAACACACGGATCGTCGACGCGAATACGGGTCACAATAAACCGCACACACTTTGGCCTGGCTAAAGAGCCGTGTCCGTTCGCCCGCGCGATAATTTGAGCCACCTATAAACGACGACGACACGCACCGTGCGTGTACTACTTTTTCTTTATCTCTCTCTATCGCGCGGGATCCGCTCCGGTCTCTTTCCCGATATCTTCCGCTCTGTCTCTTTTTCTCTCACTTTTCTCCCGCTCGCTCGCTCGCTCACTCTCTCTCTCTCTCTCTCTCTGTCTTTCTCTCTCTCCTCGTTCGAGTCCCCCGTCTCTCAAGGCAGACGACCGCCGACGGAGTAGAATTTCGCCTGTGTGTGGCAATTAAACACTCAAAGATGGCCGTCGCGCTATGTATCCGCCGTATCAACGTTTGTCACTGACGTCGTCAGGGACTTTTCGCGAGGAAAGAAGACTCGGGCACGGGGGAGAGAACGTGGAAGAGACGCGCGAGATGACTCGCACGAAAACGCGAGCGTCCGGGATAATAAATTCCAACCGAGGATTAATTTTCACGCGCAATTTTCGATTCGGCGCGAGAAGAAGATCGAGCGACGGTGACGACGTGCGGAAGAAACGCGCGAAAATATCGCCGTTAACCTCAAAACCTCAAAGAAAAATCCGTCCGTCGCGAGATCGCGAACGTACGATGCGTAAGCAAGCAGCGAATAAATCTCTCTCTCTCTCATGGATGCGATCTGGAAAAAAAAAAAAAAAAAAAAAAAAAAAAAAAAAAAAAAAAAAAAAAAAAAAAATCGTGGATGTGGAAAGAACGTTGCACCTCTCGCTTGATTCTGCGTCATTGAGAGCAAATAACGCGATAGATACGTGGGAGCACGTGGGAGAGTTGAGTTTTCTGATGAATTTCTCACGCGCGACATTTTAAGTATTTAATCTGAAAATTTTCTTGCAAATCGCTCAAGAAGAACAAAGCAAATCTTCTTTATCATTTCGTTTGCACTTGTATCAGATCAATGAAAGCTGTGATTTATTGTCCCCCAAGTGTCATTGCACAGGTAGTCCATATATCACGTTTTATTTTAGGCGCGAGAGCAATTACGTACGTATGTGTCAATCAAAAGGATACAAATTATTTCATGTTAAAAGTATTTTTGCAATATATATATATATTTTTTTTTTTGCATATATATATATATATACATCTTGTATCTAAATTTTACGTTTTTTTTTTCTGTATTTTACAAATGATGGGACTTCACCGTTTGTAATTTTTACACAAATAAAACTTCGATCAGCTGCTACACCAGGTACCTTAAATGCGACTCGAGAGTTTCTTCGTTTCGAATTTTTTTAGTACGCACAAGATGTTCCGAGTAATCTCAAAAAGATGAAACTTGGAAGAAGCAGCAAGTAGCTATGTGATCGACTTCCGCGAACGACGAGGGATTCCATCTCCGCGGAGATGGAATTTAAAAAAACACACAGAGAGAATTATTAAATTTGATCACCTTCTATTGAGTTCCGGTGGTAATACGCTCCATTCTTCCGCCTCGTAATAAGGCCACATCGTGAACGCGGTGTGATGTATGATAAATGATCAAACAAACAAAGAGCTTAGATCCAAAAAGATCACAAATGTGAAATAAAAAAAAATTACGAATCTATATATCAAGCGGCATATACGGTTGTGCGATCAATCTTGTACCTTCTTTATCACTAACATAATAGAACATTGATACAAGGTAGGAACATTTATCTCTTATCTCTCCGCGATTACCTTGATATCAAACATTTGCACTCACACAAATTCAACAAGTTTTAATAAGATTAGTTTCAACAAACTTGCATGAACTTTAGACATGCGGTATTATACAGATAAATTGTTATAATTTTTCGTAAACAAATGTATGACATTTTTTTTATTTATTTAAAGGTAATTAAAAATTTAATTAACGGCCGATTTCTTCATACTTCTCGATAACTATCCTCTGGATACAATTTCTCTGAGAACCAATAAGGAGAACCAATTTTGGGAGATATCTCCTAGATAAAGTTATTGAAAAATTATCTAAAAGTAAAAAAATTGGCTGTGTAAGAGAGATATCCCCCGGACAGTATTATAATAAAATTATTCAGATAAATACAAGTTTCAACTTGTACTTCTGACGTTTGACAGAAATATTTACTTCCGATTCTTTATTTTTAATATATATATATATATATATATATATATATATATATATATATGTGAAAGAAAATAATTGAAAAATAAAAACTTGTTTCAGAAAATAATATACTTGTTAATCGTAACCGAGTGATGTTTTGAAGATAAAGAGATCTGTCGTACCGATAAGATTCACCTGTCCGAGCATGCGCCGTGTGTCGGTACTCTGAATGATTACATTTAAGCCTCGTCCGCAATAGTCGCAGTTGCAAAATCCCCAGAATTTAACCAATCGCATCGATCGGTTCTGGACAATTTGAGACTCGCGACCGTTGCAAATCCGTTTCATCAGTTGCTCACGTGTGCGCGCGCACGAACGCAGAAATTTTTGTGTCACTCTCCAAAACACCGCAATCAAGTAGTAAACAAGACGAGAGCTGCATGTGTTTGTATACAAAAGATTTGGCTAATGTTAAGTAAGCCAAATGCGGCCGCAGAAATTTACTCTTCCCTATGATGTGAACGGGTGAGCAGCTAATTTTGATAAAATATTAAATTTATTTAAATAATCCAAAATCGATAAGGTTTTGTAAGTAATATCGTTACAATTATATTTAGATGCTATATCGATATTTTGTATTTTTTCTTATTAAACTTGAACAATGCCTTTTTTGTTTTTTTTTTATCTTTCAGTTTTCCACAAATTGATAAAAAAGTTGTAATTGTCTCTGTGTTTGGCAAATCTGAATATCGGGCGAAAGGATGCAAGACAAACATGCTCAGTTCTATTCTTCAGGTGAACCTCCTGGATAAACCACAAGTTGACGAAGAATCTTGGGTAAGACGATTTGTTTCAGATGTAAAATTTTTCCCAATGCGTTTGTTGGATAGTAATTGGATCTTTTATTTGTTTGTTCGTCAGTCTGAAATTGAAGGATACTACAGTCCCAAGGAAAGAATTGTTTATTTACACTTGAGAGGATTTCTGGATACTTATGTTCTCTTGGAGGAATACACCAAGTTCACCGAAGAACAGAATAGCAAGGATTTTCTCAGTACGTGGGCACGTATGAGAGATAAATACGCGAGAGCGCTTTTAGTACTTTTTCACATATCTCACGTACTTATACTTACCCATCCAACGCACACCTTCGACTACAGTTACGTGCATTTATTTCGCGCTATGGATATAGTTAGGTTGGTATAAAAAAATCTTTATTGAAACTGTCTCTAGGATATATAAAGAAAATTAAGAAACAAACTGATTTTTTAATTAAATGATAACATATATATGTGTACAATGATAGACAGAAGATTTCTCCACAACTTTCTGACGTGTTAAGCAGTATTTATAGTCTACCGAAGGATTGGATCACAAATGTCAGACCTTGTTCGCCACGAATGTTATTTTATTTTGAAACTTGTCCAGCTGTGTTCCAGGAAGCGGACGGTACAGCTAATATTAAAAAATTAGAACACGCTCTTGAGGATCAGATTTATCGTGTGTTGAGGAAGAATAAAATTGTCACAAATATCAGGTATGAAAAACTAATTTCACTGGTTTTTTTGTTTTTTTTTTTATAAAATCTCGATAAGATTTTGAAATTATATTGTTTTTTTTAGTTCAAATTCTTTATTTGCTATACCAGCCAATCAGGAATTCGTATATATGCATACCGGAAGTACAGAATCAAGGGATATTCTGGGATACATGATGAGACAGCTGATACAAAGTTGTAAACAGGGTTCTGGTGGTTTGACATCAAGAAGCCTTGCCAGTCTGGATTCGAACAGTGGTCTAACAGACGACACGGAGACAGGTTTATAAATCAGAATGAGTAAAAAAAAAAAAGATTAAATAAGAAGTGAAATAAGTTCATATAAGTTTATATATGAATGTTGTGCATTTGCAGAACCGCGTTCGTTTCAACAATTTTTGCAACAACATATAAATCTGGCTTTTGGAAAAGGATTCGACGATAACGTCAGGCACTCGGTACCGGCTCATTTTGAAGTATGTGAATTTGTGTTCACAAATTTAACGTTACAGATTAGCGTCGACTGAAATTAATAAGCTGCGTTTTTTTTTTTTTACAGATACCTACTTTAAACATGTTTTTTCAAGTGGCAAACAAGCTTTTCGATTACTTTATTCATGGAAACGACAAAGAACTATTGATGCTTCATGGTTTATTGGATATCGACGTGAAATTCAGCAAAAGTCGTTGCAGCAAGGTACTTCCGAGAGCTTTACAAACATATCAGGAGAACTTGCCGCAACACTACACGAGGTAAAAAGCTATTTGGAGGAGTGTCTAAACGAAAAGTTCACGAAAACCTCGTGTTTCAATTAAATACCGATGTGTTTTTTCAGAACTTACCACGAATCGAAGTTGACGCACGCGGTAGCGGTTTTCGAGATGCACGCTCGCGGTCCGTTGTTTGAGGAATTTCGCGAGAAGTTGCAAGCAGAATGCGATAAACATTGGCGATCGGGCAGACAGATGTGCGAAGTTTTGTCACTGACCGGCCATCCTTGTACCAATCCCGTTCATAGAGGAGGCAGCGAGGGAGCTGGCGGTGGGGAGCAAGTTGAAGGAGGCAGAGAGGACGAAAGGTGCGAAAAAGTTATTTTTGTAAATTAAAATTTTATTTTTGTTATGTAATTTTGTTTTTGTTTTATTTACAGCGATCTACCTGTCAGTGAACATTGCAGCGGAGTTAGATACGTGTGCGCTTGTAATTGCGGTCGAATTCAAGGTGCGAGGGAAGATCCTTTTAATCTAAGACAGGCCAACTATGATTATTTCCAGATGTTGGCGAAACAGTGCGGCTGTGCGCAATTGGAAAGTATACAGTTCCCTGTGTTTCAACCCAGCACACATAATTACAGGTAGACAATTCGCCATCAAACTCTTTCTATTGTATAATAATATACACTTCTTTTTTTTTTTTTTTCTATGTAGACCAGCTCAGTTATTTTCATCCACGAAACGCCACGACTCCTTCAGTCGCAATGGTTCTTCCACTCCACAAGGAGACACGCAAGCTTGTAGCTTAGGAGCCGATACCTTAAATGGCAAGTAAACGTTAATCATAACAGAGACTTTTAACTTTTATTAAAATTGTAAACGCGAAATTACAGATTATGGTACAGGCGGCCAATCACAGACGGCGAGTGATCCGATCGAAGAGGACATCACTAGGTTAATCAACAAGACGAGTCTCACGCCAAGCGACTCGCACAAAGTTGTTATAGAAGCGACGCGCGCCTCTGACAGTGACGTGGAACCTTTCAAAGGTAATGTGACGTTGTTTTCTTCATCATTTTTTTTAAACAAACAACTAAACATTCAAACGTTTCGCAGACAAATCTCTAGTCCGACAACCGTCGACGACGGAATATCTGCCCGGAATGTTGCACACCGAATCCCCAGCAGGCTTGCTGCCGCAATTTTCTAGCTGGTCCCTGATATGCCTCGGACCGAGCAGTCTTTATTCTCACAATTTGGGTCTTCAGCATCAGACTGGTATATTTCCCACCTCCGCCTTTCTTCTGCCGTGGGACGTGACCGTTAGATTAGAACACCAGAAGGAACGGAGTTCCTTGTGGCCCACTGTTGGCGATCACGGATCTCACGGGGGTTATTGCTCGCGAGGAGGCAAAAATTATCAAAATATGAACAACATTCGCAGTCGCAAGTCGAAGGGAGGCAAGGAGTTTGTGGTAAAGATATTTGTAGGAGTGGAATACGAGTGTCCGCGTGGACACCGATTCATGGCATCGGCGCCCGACAAGGTGTTGAAGGCAACCGGAACCGGGATTGTAAAGGATAGCGGGAACAAGGTGACATCTAGCACAACTGACATGCCGCTTTATTTTGCGTGTCCTTGCAGGTGATTGAAACTTGTTGATGTTTATATTACAAAGTTAATCGAGAAAATGCACATATATTTTTTCTCTCTTTGTAGACAAACCAAACCACTGATTGCTCAATTAATGAGAATTCACGTCGTAACGCCCAAAGCGCCAGTGCACGTCACATTGAATCCTCGCGTACAACCTGGCCCACCGCCCTGCCCGATATTTGTTACCGGATGCGAAGAACCGATCAAACTTTCGCAAAGCGCTTACTGGATTTTGAGATTGCCGTATCCTTTTTTTTTCTATATATAATAAGTGAATTTTTATTTCTTTTTTTTTAAGGTTTTAATAACGTACGACATTTTTTTTCTTAATTAATGTTTAAAGTTATGTATATATTGGTGAGAAAGGTCCGTATTTACCGCCCAAAGAACTAGTACCTTCGTCTCACGGGCGCTTACTGGCTGGGATGTACGGCATCAGTGAGGTTGTGCCGGAAAAGAAATAAAAATTTGTATAAATTTGTACAAACCTGACAAGGATAATTATGTGGATGAGTTTTTACTTTCTATAACAATTCTTTGTTTTTTTTTGTAAAAAAAAACAAACTACAAATTTCCATTCTCTATTTTTTTCCTTCTCTGTATTACAGAATATTATAAAATAAATAGAAAGTTTTTAGAAAATAAGTGTTGAGACTCGACTTGAATCCTGGCGCATTGGTAGCGCCGCGATGATGAGTCGCTTTTGAGTGTTCAGATGATCACGTGATGATGATTCACGTTTGGCGATTGGTTCCACATCAATGTTTGAATTCGAATTACGCGAAGGGATACTTTTTTATGATTTTTATTTTGTATTTCGAAAGAACAAGTGTCCGTCGATTTACGATTAAATGAGATAAAAAAGTTTCTCAGATAAATAACAGAAAGTAGATGAATAATGGAAAATAAAAATATATGATTTTGTCAACTACATGAGCCAAACGGTTTTCCGCCGGTCGCCATGTTTAAACGACGCAGTCGTTACGGCACATGACAAACATAAACAGATACGTACGAATGAGCGCTTCTGCTCGCATTTAAATTCGGAAGACGGTTATTTTTGTCATGTAAATATAATTTGCAACGACGTGACGGAAATCGAGTTTCTTCACGCGATAACGTTCTCATAATAACGAACGCTCCCTCGACGAACGTTACGAAATTTGTGAAACAAACAAGATATTCTTGAAACATTACTTACAATTGATCGTTATTTATTTTTAGTGCAAGTTGGTGATGTTGAACATCACGAATTTATTTTTTGTTGTTTAATTGAATCTAGTCGTAAATTCGACAAAAAAACATCTGTGGGATTTATCTACTGTGTCAAATTGGTTAGTTGACAAATAGTTTATTGATAAATTTTTTAGATGCAACGTTTTTGTTAAGCATAATGTTAGCAGATACGAGATACTAAATACGTTTTTTTAAGAACTATGATTGTTTTTTGTAGGTAGAAGATAATTAGTTGAAGACATAATGCAGTTCATTATGAATTCCAAGTTCCTGCTGCTGATGTTTATCATGTTGTTTTGTTGTAAAATTGGAAGTACATCGATACTGGATTGGATGTGGCAGTCAAAAACAGATGATACCACAGTTATAGTTGCCGATGGTGTGCCTCTGGTCTCAATTCCCTACGAATCAATGACAGAGGATGAGAAATTTTTGCAAGAAGCTGCTAAATTTACAAATATTCAAGTGTCCTCTCCTTTGGAAATTTGCCAGCATAAGGTGATCATGAAAATCAAAACCTCCTGTTCTGATATGACAGAAGAAGAGTTAGCTAAGCTAAGTGTCAATCTTCTCAATTGCCAGTCAGCAGTTGAGGGCAGGAAAGTATTTCCTTGCACTGAAGAAATGGTATGTAAAGTTTAGTAAAAAAATAGAAATTTCTTTATGCAACACAACACAATACATAGAAAACACATTTTGTTTAACTTTTATTTTATAAGATTTTATTTAAGAAAAAATAATTTAAAAAAATAGAAGTAAAACACATATTTAACTGTTCTCTGTATTTCTTCAAATATAAGTTTTTTTTATTGTCTCTTATTTAACACATATACGTTGATTTATATTTTAAATATATAACGAAATTTATTAAGTAGCAGTACAGCACAACATAGCTCTCTGAACTCTTTATGAATAACTGTGCTTGTTCAGACTTGCACACTTTCCCCCACCTTTTCTTTTTAGAAGACCTCCCCAAAGCTTAGGGACTTCAATGTCCCTTTTGAGAATGTGTCATACGTATATATATATTAACAGAAGTGCTTTATATGTAGATTTAATATTCAGAATTGTAAAATCTGTTAATTAAGAAAAAAGTTGAAAAAGAAAAAATATTTAAAAAACTGTGCTGAACAAGTGCAAGTGCTTTGAGAAAATTCTGAGAACATTTAACTGAACAGAGAGTAGTGACCATTGATATGTAAGTATAAAGACAAATATTTTTTTGTGATTTTAGTCACTTAAACAATGCACAACGGACATGGATGCCGACATGTGGAATGCTTATCATTTAATGAGTAACAGAGCTAGGGCAGTTTGTTACGCGGCTCGAAGTACACAATTTCGTGCTCTTACAGAGTTGACAGTTAACAAACTGATGCAGTCTGCACATTCTCAAATTGAGGCATTGAGCTCGTTGAAAGTAAGTTATCATCATATATTTTATTTTCTAATTTATCAAGTTGGTTCTAATTCCAAGATCCCGCAAATCTCTCGCATTATATAGCAAAGTCAGGATCGTTTGGAGGAACAAACAGCAGAGGCTCTGTCCTCGTTGTCCGAAGGAAACAAGGTACTCTTGGAACAACAGAGTTATCTTAAGGACGCACAGTCAACAGCTCACAACATAATAACAACAAATCTACGAGAATTGAACAATGAGAAGGCATTAATACGATCCGGGCACGCTCAGCTCGCAACTATGGCGGAAGATATAAAGAAAAAACTAGGTAGTGTAAATGTTTTTCATGTTTTTCTCTTTATCATATATTTTACGTGTGTATAAATCTCTTGTAAAAAAAAAAAAATATATCATATTACATATTTTATCTTCCAGAAAAAGCACATCAAGATCTCGAGGAGCAGGCGATGGAGCGTGGGGAAAATCATCGGGAGTTGCTGCAAGATTTGATGAGAATACAAGAACAATCGCAAGCGATATGGGAGAAGATCGAATCGAGCACTAATCGCATATTGGAGCAACACGAGGAAACCATTGAAAAATATGAGGAAACGTTTCAGAAACTTGAACAGATTAACAATACCATTCAGTACATTTGGGATCTCACCAACGTGATGCGCACAGAAGTGGATCAGAAGTTGGCATGGATCGCCGCCTACATCGGCGATACCGGTATTGTTATTGCACAAATACAAATGCGTATAAACTGAATTTGAATTTTCTTTTGGTTGAATCAATTTAAACCGGTTATAAAATTTATAATCAAGAGAGACGTGTGTCAAAATTAATTTTTACAATCCTTATTTGCAGGCGAACAAATGCAGAGAATGTATCGCGTATCTTTACACGTTGTATACATATTGATAGCGATGATAGTTGCCGCGTTTTTACAAGCGCCACTTTTGACCAGAGTCACCATCATGAGCATCGTACCGATCAATGTCGCAACCTACTTAAAGCACGGCCTGGAAGCTTGTCTGGATTTTACTTCTATGACAGTATTGATATTCTTGATCACCGCAAGTATGTGAATATCATATACGAGTATATACCGTAAGTGTAAAATAATTTGTTTAATTAACGCATATAGTTCTCCCGCAGTGCATTACACAATGATGGGAATACAACGCGCGTTTCGGTCGAGAGGTCAACAGAAAACGACGACAGAACCGGTTAAGATAGTTCATCAAAACGGACATTCGAACGGAGATGCGTACAAATACACCTCGTCGTCGTATTCCAATTCCGCTTCGATGCGACTGCACAAAAAAGTGATAACAAAAGTACAGGAACTCTACAATCTCATTATTTCGCAAATAAACCGCTGCACAGGTATCATTCCGATTTGTAACGAAACTTGTTGCGAAAGATTATGCTCGAGCCAAATTGTTACAATTTAGTCCGCCATTTTTTTTTTCTTAGAAAAAATCAGTGCCTTGATGAGATCGATCGTGTCGTGGGGTCAGTACAGTCTGAGCGCGCACGAAGAGCTTTCCTGTTCCTACTTGCCGTCGAAGAAGCACGACGAGGTCATTTACACGTACGAAGAAGCAACTCCGAGTACGATGTCGGATTCGACGCAACGTGATTCTTACAATTCAAAGACAATGGAGGAAGACGACGAGGAAGAAAATGACATAAACAACATAGTGGACGTATTCGAACTAAAACGTCGCATGCGTAAGGATACGTCGCGTTCCCGAAGGTAGACAACACTATGAAAGTTGGAGGTTTGAAAATCTATAAGCAAGTATAATGCTTCTTAAACCCCAATTCTCTGTGATACAGCAATACTCCGTTTACATCGCCGAAGGTTCCTTGCATGGGTATTACGCGAGCTGGCAAAAGGTGTCGGTCATTTACTTCAGCCGGACAATTCTACTGTTATCGTCATGCTACTGGCACGTCCATTATTGGTGACAATTACGAGAATTGAAACGCGCGAATATAGTTTTTTTTTTACTGAAAGTTTAGTAAACTTCACTTCGCCGACGAGTAAAAAAAAGAGTTAGTTTAGTTTTAGCTAGTTTAGTTTTTTTTTCTTAAGTAAGTTTGGTTTTAAATGTACAGTCGAATTATTGTTAGAAAAACACGTAGTTTTCTTTTTACATATGGATTTTAGCGCGCAAGCGATTTATTCAAACGCAGCTGTAGAATAAATTTCCTCTTCAGGGTCCATTACGATAGTTACAATTCAATCGGTGAGCGATACTGTGTATCGTTCGTTATTTTATTGCGACTTGCAAGGTAAGATAAACTCGAGATCTTGATATAAAATATCAACAAAAAAAATTTAGATCATGATATTTTATACAAATGATGCAAATGTTTTGACAAAATTTTAGTATTGATTTAATGTAACTACACTGTATATGTATATATAATTCGTAGTTTTTAAATTGCGTTTTAAATATTTGTTCAGTGGTAGGGGAAAGTCGTACGTAAAAGTAAAAACGTTTATATAAAAATAAAATTGTATCATTGTTTATATTTTTGTGTTACTTATAAAAAAAATTTGTATTTTCCAGAGACACAGGCTCTAATTATCATATACTTTCTTTGTAGTAGAAAAAAAAATTTTTTTTTTTTTTGCGCTTGTACAGCGCGCGTGTAAATGATAAAATAGTTTAATAAATACGATACGTGTGTGTGTGTACGATATACAATGTAATATTTTTCGAACACATCGAAGAGTACAAACTTGATATAATGAATTGTTCTGTAACGCACGTGTACTTGAAACTTTATAACGTGATAAAAATACAAATCTACGTTTATACTATCTGCAACATTGTGCGAGAAATTCTTTTAGAAATATCACAAGCGAGTGAGATATGTGTGTGTTTCCTTTCTTCATTCACAGATTGCCATGTTGAATTGCGTGCACACAGCGTCGCTTGTCAGTTCCAGAAAGTTTGTATGAGTATTCAGACCGGCGCCTACCACCAAATTGTGCAGATTGCAGTAATTTGCGCCGTGGTCAAATAGTATAAACCATGCGTTTGAAATAGACTCGGCCTATGTTTATGTTAAATATGTGATAATATTTATACATATTAATTCTCTGTGTGTATGCGCGCGCGAGTGTGTGTGTATTCACAATAATGTTTATTTTTATAATTCGCAAATGATTTTTATCGAGGGAAAGGTCAATATAATATATTTATGTATATGTGTGATGACGGGCGACACATAGTTTTTTTTTTTTTTTACATAACATTTTGGAAAATCTCAAAAAACTTACCGTAGCAACGCACGTTTTATTTGTCCCTTCAAATGAAATCTTGATCCTTTCGTGCGATTTCGAACTCGACATTCTGTGAGTTGCTCTGATCACATTCTCTTCCGGCGAAATGTTTAGCTGTCAATAAAGACAATAAATCGGCGTTGTATTCTACGGTCGATTGCGGTAGAACTCCAGTTTCAATTTCGAGAACCGATTCTTTCTAGAAGTCGAAATTTATCTTCTTCCCCTTTCAGTCAGCGACTGAGCCAGGTAGCAAGAAACGAGAGATGTAGGATGTCTTTTTTTTCTTAGACTTTGAAGGCCAATCGGAGACTCGTCAATAGGGAAGAAAACTGTTTGTGTCCGCTCGTAACGAAGGAGTCAAAATTGCGACCCTCGAAATTGCCGGAGTTCTACTGTATTCGAGACTGTGTCTTCTTACCGTGTACAGACAATTGACGTCGTGTCGCCGGCAAACGTTCCACGAAGACCAATTTATTATCTGATATCGAAATTTTTGCATGATGAATGTGCACGGATCACCGAACTTCCTAGAACCAAGTGTATCGATCGATAAAGCGCGTCGCGTTGCGACTTGAAAAAAAAAAAAAAGATTTATACACTTTGTTTTCTTTCATCAAAATTTTTGACGCGCAATTTGATATTTTCATATAGTTTTTCGTAAATGCAAACACGCGACGCGCTCAAAGCGACCGAAAATAACGTTTAAAGCCGAGTCTCGTTCTCATCAAGTTTAAAAAGCGCGGACACGGTATATTTGTCGAGCGGCGCGTCTACGCCAAAGTAAAATATACAAGTTCCATATAATGTAGCTGATATTAAGTTTCCCTTTTATGCGCGTACATAAAAGAAGAAACAGCTGAATTATTACGAAAAGATAAAAGAACTTTCGAAAACCGTGAAAGAAGTTGGAAAACTCTAATAGAACAACAATCACAACACGATATTAAATTTGTATCTTTTAAGTTTGAAGCCAAGTTTTGTTGTCACACACATTTTTCATTGCCGACGGTGGTGTGTTTAAGTTTTGACGTGTGTGTGTTTGATAAAGACGAGAATTCTTCCGTTTTACCGTCGGCAATGTGTGTTAAGACGCACACATACACGTACACACTCTCGTAAGAAAAACATCACACTGCTCCGTTTACTTCACGTTTAAAAATAATAATTACGTCGTAAATAACGTAAATATCAACAAAATAGATAATTACCACTTGACGACGCAGGAAGCGTGCAGAGGATATGGAAAAAACAGTTTAGCGAACAGGACGCACACCAAGATCGTCATCATTCCGAGCAGACTGCAGGTGCAATACTTGCACTTTCCCTTGGACAACGTGCTTCTTATAATTAATAGCGAAGCTTTGTTATCAGCTGTCCGCGAAAAAAAAAAGAAACTTAACACGTGAATTTGTTATAAATTATACGAAGAATGTGTTGTAGCGTATATAAATTATTTTCAAAATTGTTTGAGAAAATTAAACCGCTTTTCGTTGATGTATCAATTTGCGACGACTTCGACGAGTCTCGAGAAGCGTGACGAAGATAATACGGTGGCGAACCGATCCTCCTCGCATCGTCCCCGTGCGCCGACATCTCGTTTCTCTTGACGCTTTTCGACGATCGGACCATCGCGCGCGAACGGATTATTTTTCACAGGAAGAGAAAGAAAACGAGAAAAAAAAAAAATACCAACGGTTCTTTCGCAAAATCCGTCATCAAAAAAACACACACGACTGTCTTCACGATCGTTTTACTTTTGTTTTTAACATAACTTTAACTGCATCTGTTTTTTTTTTTTTTTTTTTTAATTTACGTAGAGATAATGTTACGCGTTTGTATTTCCGTTTTTATTTACATGTTATTATTACTATTGTTATTTTATTTATTTATATTGTTGTTACATGAGAAAAGTTGTTTTTAAGATTTCGCAAATATTGTAATTGTCGCGTGAAGCATAGACGCAGCTGTTACGCCGTCGACGAAACGCAGCAGTTGCCGTCTTGGTAAGCCACCCGTTTCTCCGTTGCAACGTCAATGTCAGAATCGCGCACCAAATGTGCCGCAAGCAAGACTCGTCAATGGCACCTGTTTACAAATGTTCCAAATACCATAAAACGATGCAACTGTCACCAGCAAGAAGATAAAACCGGTGTGGTATAAAAATTGACGGTTGAAGGTAAATTTTCGATATTTTAGAATAAAAATAAAAAAAAAAAAAAATATGAATATTCGCAAATTATATGTTACAGTCGCTATCTCGAATCTCAAAGAGACCAAAAATAATGTTGAGTTACAGAGCTTTCGCGACCTACGAAATGTTTCGAGTAAAAAAGAATATTCGACTTCAACGGACGTTCGGAAATTTTACGTTCTTCGATGCTACACGTCGCACAAATAAATTAGAACGGATAAGAAAGAAGAGGTAGAGAAAATCCCTTTTGCGACCTACATTGAAGTATATAAGGTTCTATATCTAAAGAGTTTTATATTTTCTCGAAAAATATTTTTTATATTTCCGAAAACCTATTCTCTTTTTATTTTTTGTTTCGAGACTCAAAAGAGAAATCGTCTGTGAGAAACTGTCAAAAACTTTGAGTTATGGACATTTTTAAGGCAACGTTCATGCAAAAAATCGACTGTGTACCAATCATTCATTTCACAAACTGCGTCATTTATTTGCTTTTATATTGTTTCGTTTCTTTGAAAAAGTTAGATGAAACGAGCGTCTACGTTGAAGAACTGACAAATGTGTTTATCTATCTATTGTCTTATGCTACAGGCTAATTTCAGGGTTTTTTCTTATGCTACAGGCTAATTTCAGGAAATACGTGTTCAAATAGCTTTTTATTGAGCTTTTATACATATTTCTTGCTTACGCTTTTGCCAACAATGTTTCGAACTTGCAGAGATTATTCTTAATGCATAATTAATGAATGTTTTTCCACGCGAGAGAAATGACAAATTTCTAATTGTTTGACAAAAATTGTATATTTTACATAGACCTAAACAAACCATAGACACTACGTGTTTATAATAAAAGTTATTCGCTCCCCTCGTGTACTTGAGAAAATAGCATTTGGCGAGTAGACAATTAGATTTGATGTTTTTTTGCTGTGTGTTTCGAAATTTATTATTGTGCTGCAGAATTAAAAGTTCAAAATTCTTTTGACAAATGGCACTCCACCTGGTTAGGATTGGCAGGCATATAAATCATCAGCAACTTGTAAATCTTTTTCATCCCTTTAAAAATTCTTGGTCTCTTCGGATTTACTCAAACGACATATAAAACTTATCCGCCGCGACATCAAATGACAAAAAAAAAAAAAAAAAGAAAAGAACGCGTCTATAACTCCGTATGAATAACGATCCGAAACCGGCGCCGCGATTGGTCCGAGCGCGTTTTCTTGTGGTCTCTCCTCTCGCGAATTCGCGAGACGGAAATATATACACCCGCGTGCGCGTTTCTTTTATTCGGCTCGCTTCCTGTTAGCGATACTGTAACGTCGGTGTCGCGCTCTTTTTATTTCAGTCCTTGCATTATACGCGGACAGAATTATCGCGCAAGAGTCTTTTTTCGATTTCTTTCTTCGCCTTCGCTCCCTCGGTCGAGCTTCCTCTCGGAACTTCGGTCTGTATTTTTTTTTTTTTTTTTTTCAAAGTAAAAAATTAGTATGTTTAATTAATTAGAGAAGCGAGCTGTGCAAATGGAGATTAAAAATTGGAAATTAAAATACAAATACTTGGAAGCTACAGTTTTTTGTTGAAGACAGTGAACTACGTGCGAGTTAGTTTTAGGCCGATCGAAACGTCCCGTGAGTTGAAAAATGATTTTTTCGCTTCTTGTATTTATAAAACCACGTTCACAGCAATGAACCTTCTTTAGTTTTAGTGCAATTAATATATGTTTTAGTACGTATATGTTTTGTTTAAAAAATAAAAATCTAGACTTTTTGAGGAAACAATGCGAATCTCGCGCGAAGACTAAATTTTTTTTGCAAAATTGCATCATCTCTTGCGCGTCTCCCCTTTGATAATTTCAAAACATTGTTTTAATAATAGAAAATTATCAGGTTTCGCCGCCGGTTTTTGTTACTTATTAGTCGTGTCGCCGCGTGATGTTGCAAAAGACACCACCATCATCACCGCGGCTGCGAACGAGACGACGAAAGATATGATGCGGCGGCTTGACAGCTGACGCGGCAACGGAGAGATCCGGGATTCACACGATGTACCAAAACCTCTCTTCTTTTTTCTTTCTTTGTCGAAAAAGTTTCGCGAACGTTTCGTCGTTTTGTGCGCTCTCGCGATGCCGTCCGTTTTGTATAAATCATCAAACAGATCAGATGTAGCAAAAAAAAAAAAACAGAAAAGAATTGAAATTAAATCTTTTTTCTCAAATCATAATTTGGACAACGCCAACACATTGCAACGTTTTGCGTAATTATTTCATAGCGCTCGCGTAATTTTGAGAATCAATTTTTAATTAATTAATTTTTCTTCAACTTGTTCGTATTATTTCCTCAGAACTGATCGGGGGCCCGGGAGAGGAAATAGACGATATACGACGGAGTGACGACGCGCGACTTGATGCGCTGCGACGCCGCGGATTCCATTTACCCCTTTCCGTTTTCTTCTGCGCTCTTCCCTTTTCTCCCTTTCCCCGTCCGAGCGTGTCTCCGTCGCTCTCGCGTCACCGCGGTCGTCCACGTATAAACTTGACAGCCATAAAAGACGGGCCGCTCGACCGACATCTGGCCTGACGTGTACACTTTGTAGTCCCCTACCTATGCGTAAAAGCCAGTCTCTCTCGCGTCATCCTCAGTCTCCCCGTTGGAGTACGGGAATTGACAGAACGAATCGTCGACGCCCTTTCAGAAGCGCGCGAAAGATATATACAAGTATATATATTCAGCCGTTACGCTCGCGCGGTCTTTTAACTTTTTCTGCGTCTAGAAGAGACGCCTTTTTTCTCGTGTGGGAATTTTTCGTAACGAAATCTTTGATAAAAAAAAAAACAATTATATAACGTACACGGATACAAATGAAAAAACACTGATAAGAGAGTTCGTAAAAAGACTTAAAAATAATATAACACTCGGAAAAGAAATTTATATTATACTTTTGTGACAAATTTCTGCGATAGAACTTCTGGATATTGTGAAGCAGGTTCTTCGCAAAGAGAGATGTCGCGTCGGCGCTTTTGAAGTTTCCAATAAAAGGGAATCAGATCAGACGTAGCAGAAGAAACTAAAGAAAGAGGATTTCTAGCGAGAGCGAGAGAGAGAGAGAGAGAGAGAGAAAGAGAGCTCTCCCTAGAAATTTATAATTCGAACCGCCTGTCGGCAGCTAATTTCCTGTTCGGGAAGGCGTGTCTACGGCCATAATGCTTTCTCGCGGTTAACCTGAGCCGGATGAGAGAGTCCCCGATGAGATTCGGTCGAGGATGAAGAGTTCATGGTGGACCCCAAGACCTCTTCTCTCTCTCTCTCTCTCTCTCTCTTCGCACTTTTTTCGAAAATGGTGGTCGCAGCACTCGACGGTCGCGAAGCAGCTGCTGCGACGGCTTCAACTTGAACGCTGTTACGAAGAAATGATAATGAAATGACGAACGCGGCCATTAGGAGGCAACTGGTACCTACTTGGCGCGGTTCTTTTTATTCATTACTTTCGAAGAGTCTAAAAACTCTTTTCTTTTCGAAATTTATTATTTTTATGATTGAAAGAAAAAGAGAGAGAGAGAGAGAGAGAGAGAGAGAGAGAGAGAGAGAGAGAGACAGAGAGAGAGAGAGAAAGTTAATTAATGTTTTAATTACATCTACGTGAAACTTAGCATTTATCTCATTGTATGTCATATAAGAAGTCAGAACTGTTTTTAAACAAAATTAATTTATTTAACAATTTATGTAAAAAATAGCAAGAGCAAAAATAGAAATAGGTCTCCACGTGGAGAGAGGCAAGAGAGAAGGTCGCTCCCTCTTCATTAACACATACTTCATCGGCGACGGTTAATGAATCAAGCGTTCATATATCAGCTCGCAACAACTTCTGCGGTGTTTTTTCAAGAGGCTTGATTTATCTGTGTGTCGAACACAGCCGGGAAAAAACAAACATTCTCCGGAGGAACCATTTTCGGTAACAAAGTTACAAGTTAGCACGCCATCGCTCTATATCGCAAGTCGATCCGAGCGATGTGAAAATTCTCTTCTGTCCGTTCTGAAAAAGACAGGAAACTCTCATTGCGAGCTTCGCTATCCTCCATATCTCTATATTAAAATCCAAAAATTGTTTATATACGATTCACACACAAGTTATTTATACGATTTAAATTTTATTAATTTTTAAACACGCACAATCGCGCAAATCTCCGCATTCCTTTGAAGAATCGTATAACTGTGTTTTGTTCCTTCCATTTGTCCCTTTCCGCCTTTTTTTTTCGAGGGTCGCTTGCAATATACGGTTACTCGAGGGCGGCACTTCGGCTTGTGCTCTCAGAGCGGGACGAAAAGAAGCCGCTGTCATCGTTATCTTTTGTACCGTACTTCCGGCGGAGTTACGACATCGCAAGATATTCGACGCGACAAAGAAAGATTATCCATCGAGGAGAAAAAAAATTCAAAAAAAAAAAAAAAAAAAAACTAACGCAAATTAATTTTTGAATATTTAGCGAAACTTGTTTCGTTTGACTTCCTGAAATCGGGAGTAAATTTCATCATCAAAGCACAATCTGTGCGTCGTAAAAACCGTATAAAGTTCTTTGATTTTTGTTCCGACAATTTAGTTTACTTGAACAGCGTGTTTTGAGCTCGATGTGAAATGTGTGCAAAACAAAAAGCGTTAGATGTTATTTGAACAACACCGATGTTCGACGAACGATTTCGAGCGCGCGTTGCCGATTTTCCCTCAACGGTCTCTCTCTCTCTCTCTCTCTCTCTCTCTCTCTCTCTCTCTCTCTCTCTCTCTCTCTCTCTCTCTCATACGTGTCCTTTTTGTTCGCCGCAATGAAAACGTATACGAGCTTCACTTGGCTATATCGCCGTCGAATATACGTTCTTGACGAGAAACGCTGTCGAGCGGCGCTTATTAGTGGCCTTCGCGGTATCGTAAAGTAAATCTCACAGAAAAAACTCGCGGGTTGCCCTCTTTACGAGCCCCATCGTCTTCATAGGCACCTATGGCACGAAAGCGGAGGAATTTACTGCTTCCACGTTCCGATCTATTTTAATGGCGGCGATGATCCTATCGCTCTCCGCGATAGCGCGAATCGATCGCGGTGCGCGAAGTTGTACATTTACGTTTTTTTCCAACAATTGTGGTAAATTTTAAGAAAAATAGATATCTTTACTCTTTTTTTTTTTACAAAAATCAAATTTAATATAAAATTAAATTAATATTTACGCGTTTAAATGTATAAACGCGTCGGAGAGCGCAGAGCAAGTTGTATATTTACGTTTTGCAACATTTGTGATAAATTTTTACGAACAATAAACGTTGTTTTAATTTTTTTTATAAAAATAAAGTTGCCAAAATAAAGATTATTATAAAAAAAAAAAAAAACAATTTAAATGTAAACGTCGGTTCTGCGACAGACACAAGTCCGCCATTGCTGAACTGGGCGGATCTCTACCAGGGAGGGATTCACCTGTCCGAGATTCCAAATACCAACAGGTATTCTTACCTGCGAGTTGTTCCTACAGGTATTCAGTCTGAAGCTTCGAAGCGATTTGTCGGCGCGGAAAAATGAGAAATACAAAATGGCGATACTACTAATAAGACTCTCAAATGAAAGAGTATAACAGAATAATCATGTGTGTTCTGCCCCTCCTCCCCCCCAGCCGAATTTGGTCGAGATTTTTAATTATAAGTCATCACTAATGTAAATGTTATTTTCCCGAAAGCATATTTCTCAAATATGTTTTTTATGGAGGTATAAAGAAAAACCGGAAAACAAATTTTCTCGCTAACGAGTTGACCGATTTTATAATAAAAAAAACAATTATGTTACAGGCTTTAATGGGATAATGTTTCAGAAGAATTAAGAAACAATTTTGTCCAATAGAATTTGTTTTAAAAAATCGTTAAATTTTTTTCGAAATTTTTTTATGCGATCGAGACTACTTCTGTTTTTTAACATAAAAAACTTTCAATAAAAAATCCTCGTGGCATTTTGAGTGAACGAAAAGTATTACGTACACAATATTGTTTTTGGTATTGCACGATTAATATGAATAGTTTTACATAAATTTCTTTTGTCTTCTAACATTATATATTGTCGCGGAATGTATTATTGTTTATCTTAGGACCCTAGTCCAGGTGGCTCGAGAAAAATGGTTAAAGAAAATGACTTTGCTATTGAACCTGCGGTTTCAGGTTGAGAAAGAGAGAAGATGCGCTTAGTGCGGAAGAGAAACCTAAAAGGTCCATATGTGTCCAGATGTTCGCCAGATGTAGAAAACTAAGGTAAAAAATTTGCCAATAAATTCTTACATATAACTTGAAAAGACTAAAAGATTCAATGAGATTTTGTATTTTTTTTTTGTTTTGTTTTGTTTTATTTTGAAATAAGGCTCTCCTGTATTTTTTAAGAAAAAACGTATATTTTTTACACGACTTACGTGACGTTTTAAAGAATAATATAATTAATTTGACACATTGTTTTTACTTTGTCTTTAAGACAATGCAAAAAGAACTAACGCGATTCTGATGCAATTCCCACCGTCTGTGACGGAGTGAGTGGTTTGGTTACATCGAAACGTTCGAATTAACGTCTTCGGGGAGGTATAAAATCTACATCAAAGAGATATGAAGTTGCGCGACGTTACAACCCCGTCAACTGTCGCGCGCGTTGATAAAAAAAAAAAAAATGCTTTACGGCCGCAGAAAGGGCTTCAGCAGGAACTTCTCAAATTTCCTCAGCTGGAGGCTTCATATCTTCGCATTTATCTTCAACCGCACAATTATAATCGCACAATTATATAGCTGATGGAACAATTTTAATCTCGCAACTTATCGCTTATTGACTTACTTTTATCTTCAAAAAAAAATGTAAAAGATTTTATCTTCAGGTAACTTAGCGCGCTATGTTTATGTTAATACTCAAATTTGCTTTTCTTGTAACATCTATCTTTTTCCGAATTTTAAGAAAATATTTATCTAAATGGCACAGCTGGATATATTTTACATACCTATCAGTGAAATAACATCACCGGCGATACGTAACGGACTTCATCAAAGTCTGCCATCAAGTTCTTGTAAGAAAATTCTCTAAAACAATGTCCGGATAAACAACATTTCCGTTCACCTTGGGAAGACGTCCGGCGAACATAGATTGGATTATTCATTAAAAGAAAGTATATTAATTTTGCGTGACATTACGCGTGTGTGAAATTGTGTGCGAAGTAGCAAAAATTTAATCGTCGCTCCGAACGTTAGTAGAAACTTAACACACTCTTTTATAAATAAAATTTATGTTATAAATAAAATTATAAAAATATTTAATTAAAAATTATAAAGTATTTAATTTTATATGTAAAATAACTTACTAATTAGATTAATTTTTATTTATACTTACAAAAAAATTTGAGTATTTATGAAATTATTAGTAAAATTACATAGGGGTAACTACATATCTAAAAAATTTCTATATTATGTAGTTAATATGTATAATAATAATATTACATAATAATATTTATATATATAAATAATATATATTATATAATTTAATAAATATAACAATATAAAAAAGAAGAATAAAACTCGCTCGTGTTGTAAAACAATATAAAATTATATGTCAATTAAGGTCAATATCGAGCGGTACTGTTAGGTGTAATGTGCAATTTTACTTAATATTTAAAATACATATATACAATGCAAAACGTTTCGATATACACAGATGTCATCTTCAGTCGCAATATACAAATTAAATACAAAATGAAGCTGTCGTATATAGATAGATGGACATACCTTGTAATGGATAATTAGTGTCACAAAATAAAATAAAACTGAAATATAAATATAGAAATGTAAAATTTTTTAAATTCACGCACAAAAACTCACTATAAAGTAAAAGTCAAGAGGAACTTACAATTCACAGCGGTAAAGAGACAAATGCTGGACAAAGTCAAGAGACAAACATATTTATATTAGTAAGTAGTAGAGGGGATAGAAAATATCGTTATGTTTAACGTACAGATGAAGCAATCTTATTTAAGAGACTAAAATAGGCACTATTTAACGATTCAGAATCTGTAACTAAATTGAGCCCGTGTTGTTTTATATGAATTGTTTCAGAAATTAGTCTCTTACAAAAATTCGGCTCGTGATCTAAAATCTGTATTTTATCCCAATCAAAATAATGGTCAAAATTCAAGCGATGTTGTGAAATTACTGAGAGTTGAGAAGTATCTTTCGAAATATTGTTGATATGTTCTTTTAATCTTGTTTTTATCTGTCTCTTGGTTTGTCCGACATGTGTTACACAACAGTTATTACAACTAATCTTATTGCATTGTATATATGTATTTTAAATATTAAGTAAAATTGCACATTACACCTAACAGTACTGCTCGATATTGACCTTAATTAACATATATATTTTAATAAATATAATTTTTGGAGGAAAAATAATAAAATGTAAAATAGAGACAGAGAGTAGAGAGAAATACAGAGAAAGAACGATGTTAAAAAAGGTCGTTTGTTTGCCCGTTAATAGAAACGTAAAAAACATAATGAATCTTGTAGATCTTTTGACTTGCTGAACACGATGATGCAATTAGTTTCCCTTGAAAGTGTGAACATTGTCATTTTTCAGATTAAAGTCCTACTTTTTATCATTTCCGTGAACGATTTATCTCGAAAAATCAAGATTTTTCAATATGAGTGGGATATTTCTATGTGAAACTTAGTATGAGAGAAGATTTCTAATACGAAACGATTCCATTTACTTACGAATATAGAGTTTTAAAATGTTTATTAACTTACAGTTAGTGAGAGCAAAAAATAGCAAATGTGACATCCGTCATTTTGGATCCTCCATTTTAAACTTGTTTATTAGAGATTTTAACAAAATATTAGGTATCTTCTCATACCAAGTTTCACATGAAATGTCTCACCGATATTGAAAAAATTCTTGATTTCTAGAGAGAGGAATTGTACGTCACACGAAAATGATAAAAACTCGAACTTTAACTTGAAAAATGACAATGTTTCCCACACTTTCAAGAAAAACTAATTGCACCATTGTGTTCGGCAAGTCAAAATCTATAAGATTCACTTTTTTATCATTTTTACTCTTCATTAATGGGCAAAAACCGGTCGTTTTTTTAACATTGTTCTGTCCGTTTCTTTGTTTTAATCTGCATTAGAAACCTGACTTTTGCACGTTCGTCTCTTTTATGAATGTCGAAGATAATATATTGTTTTTGAGTAAACTAGGTATACCAGCATTGTTTTTTTTTTTTTTTTTTTTTTTTTTGCTGCAAATCTAAGTTTCCAATTTCATGTGGTCCGCATAAGATAACAATTGTGAGACAGTTATACCTGAAAGGCCCAATGTCTACGTGCAACGTTTGAAAGGATTTTTGTCACAAAAGAAATTTCCTTTATTCAACATTGAATTAATTTTCTACGATATCTCACACAATTGAAACGAATTTGTGACGAAGATATTAATTTATTGTTAATTTTATTTTTTTTTTAATTTTATTTTTCAGTCTTGACGAAAGTGCGATACAAACAACACACAAGTTATCGAGTTGCATGTTGTCTTCAATTATCGTCAGAACATAGAAACGTTTGGATTCACACTTCATTAGAATTTAATGCATAACACCTTGCAACTGGTTTGAGAGCCCGTTAATCACGATTCAATTTTATTTTGTTTTTTGTTATTATCAATTTAAATGTGCGCGTGTGTCGCGCGAATTTTACAGCGAGCATGCAATCATCTATTTCCCGCTTTCCCGTAAGATTGAGAAGTATCGGAGCAAAATAAAACTCCGATTATACACTTGCCCCCCGGGTGTGTTCGTTCTCGCTTAACAGTTAACACATGACCGTAAATGCGTGTACGCACAAGTTTATGGTCTGACCTTGCAAAAAAATCAGCAGAAACGAAAAGATCACACAGTTTCACTACGGGAATCATCATCTGGACCTCGTAAATTATTTTTGAAGTTTTTCTATCTGCAAAAATTTTACTCGTCTATGATATATTTTATTCCACAAAAAAGTCTTTGATTTTAAAGGGGAAGAGAACTGACCAAATGTCCTTATCAGTTGTATTAATTATATTTTAAATCACTTTAAATACTTTAAATACTTTCTCTCTCTACGTTCGCGCGCGCTCGCGAGTTTACGTACCATTGAACCTATTCGACGAGAAAAACGTGTTCAGCATCTGGTCGAGTTTTCCATTGAGAAATATCAATATACACTTGTACATATGACATCTGATCTTCTTTAAAGAGTAGTAAATAAAAGAGGGAAGAACAGAAAAAAAGAAAGAAAAAACAAAATAAGCTCTTTTTCAACAAGTGCTACTACACACGTTTTTTTCACACACACACACACTTTCGACGATACGTACGTGATTGAAATCGCGTTATTATCGGCGCAAACGGCGCATTCCCATTGGCACGTGCGCGCAGAGAGAACCTGGTTATTAAATGTAATTTATTTGATATTTTTAACACTTTATTGCACAGTGAACCAGACTACGCGTGAACATGTATCCATCGTAAATTAATGAAGCAATTTAAAGAAATACATATAAATAGTACGCAAATTAAATTTTTACACGTGAGTTTTTGAATTGAAATTTCAATTCCTAAATTTATATAAGATACACTTGCATCACGTATGTGAGAAACTTAAGAGATTAAAACTCTTTATTATTATATAAATAGATTGTATTTTTTACATGTATATGATTATTTAATAAATAAATTTTTGTTGATGAAGTTCTCTCTTGCGCAGATTTCGTCTCGAATAATTCTGCGATGAAAATACATGGCACGTTCCGTATTTCGCGCGCCGTAAAATCTACCGGGCGCGAGAAGTTTTACCCTCTTTTGATCGTCGTCGCGTATTATTTTGGTATATTTGGATGCGTTATTTATCGACCTACCTATTGGCGATCCGATTTTTGGGTTGGATCGGTGCCAGAACGGGAACGGTTTAGTTTCTGCCGTCCGTCGCGCGTCGGCTTCTGAGAAACGAGATCTGACGAATGATGAATATGCACTCGCTAATATTGTCGCGGACTGACGATTGAGTCGCTCAACAAAGCCGTTATTATTATAGTTTTAGAGACACGAATCTATACGGGACCGAACATTGTTGAAAATCTTAGAAAAACTGTCAACTAAAACTCTTATGAATAATTAAACACCAATTTAAAAATCTAAAATGAAAAAAAAAAAAAAGCGAAGACGTCGAATTTTGTTTTAAAAACCGCGCGCGTTTAAATATTTCAGTCCGATTGGATTGTATTGAAATGTAAAACCGATGAAGATTTCGTCGAAAATATTTTCATCGTCGACATTATTTTGCTGACGTAACTTCGACATACAGAGATCGATCACGTATTTATTTATAATATTGTGTCAAAATATTATTGGTTGAACTTCGACAAAATCTTAGCTTTAGATAAGATTAACGTCGATAATATACGATAACGTAACATATATATATATATATATAGTATAATATATATAATATAGTATATAATTTTTCTTTTTCTTAATTGCAAACGACGACAATTCGTCTGAATCTTTGGCACCTCCTTCCTTTTCGTCTGTTTACCCCGCCTTCTCTCTCTTCGTTGGAAAGAAAGTGGGGAGAATACGGAGACCCTCTCCGAAGAGTATCTTTCTGAAGAGCGAGAGAGACCTTGCAGGAGGTCTTATATTTTAGAGCAGCAGTAATAACCGAAGAGGCGAGTTGTGCGTATTGCCTATCCATCTGCCGGTGAAACGCGTGCGTGAAAAACGTGCACACATCGCGTGCGAAACAAATAAGAAAAAAAATAATCGTTGAGGTCGAGAAAAATAAGTTTAGGTTTTGGTTTTACTTTTTGTGTATATATATATATATATATATATACGTGTATATAATATTTGGTTAGCATCTTTGCAATATTAGTATATCGAGGCGATCGAAGTAAGTAAAGTCAACGTTGCTCTGTAACAAATGTATTATTCTACGGTTTGATTCGTGGTACACTGGTACGCGACAGTGCCGGTGTCTTATTTTTTACGTATGAATGTCGGTGTTATTAATCGGATTTGTATTTTATTGTTCGTTTATTATTTACCTTGTTGTGCCGTTCAACGGACTCGAGTTAAACCGGACGAGAAGAGTATGAGAGGTGCCGCGGCAGCACCTCATCAACCAACACCGGCTCCCACATCGCAATTGCAGCATCAGTCTTCACAGTGCGTGCCAATCGGCTACTATGTCATGCAAACGGGCAGTGACAGTTCCGGAACGCGTACGAACGACAGCAATTGCGCGGCCAACTCGCCGGTGACGCATTACACCAGCGATCAGAAGAGCGACGATTCGTTGCAACATCAGCAGCAGGTTCGCGGATCGCACACGACGGGATATTTCTTGCCGACGGCCATAACCGGAGCTAGTTACGGACATCAATTTCAGCCGCGCCAGTACGAAGTTGCGTACAAAAACGCGGACGAGACGGCGGCTATGGTCGCCGCCATACACAAGTACTCATATCAACATCCTCATCCTCATTACACGCAGGAATGTATCTCGGACACGACAAAGCTTGTCGAAAAGAATTTTTGTTACAACGAACGGACAAACCCCCAGCTCCTCAACTGCCCGAAACCGCTTTTGTCTTACGACGGTTATCCGAACGATTCCGAGTTCGTGCACAACAAGAAGAACATCACTATCAACGGACAGCAGCCGAGTCTATCGTGCGTGACTCAATCGTCGCAAAATCTGTACTCGCCGGGTGCTTGCAGCGTCGAAGACGTTGCCGGTCCCGACTCCATGCAGTCGTCGTCGGTTCAGGCCCAGAGCTCGGTTGTGTCTTACGCTCAGGCGGAGACGATCGAGTGCAAACCCGAGATGAGCAATTACAAGTCCGATGACAATCTGTTAAGATCTTACTTCGCCGGCAAACTCGATCTCGTAAAGCACTCGGAGGCGTCGTCGTCGTCGACGACGGTGAGTTACGGCGAGACGCCGAGCGAGAGGCACAACAAGCACAGAAAGAAGAAGAGAACCAACGATTACGTCGAATCTGACGGGAACGAAGCGACGACGACGAAGCACGTGAAGGTACGAAGGAAAAGTTGCACGAGCGAGGCGGACATGGTCAGTCAGAGAGCGATGGCGAATGTGCGAGAAAGACAGCGAACTCAAAGTCTCAACGAAGCGTTCGCCGCTTTGAGAAAAATCATCCCTACCTTGCCAAGTGACAAATTATCGAAAATACAGACTTTAAAACTAGCCACGAGATACATCGATTTTCTGTTCCACGTATTGAAGTCCAGTATCGAAGGCGACAATTTAAATCTCGATTCAGGTAATTATTGTCACGTTTGTTTTTCGAGAGTATCGCGCGAATTTCTCAAAGATGCCCGGGGAGAAAAGTTTACGGACAAATTTTGGACATCTGGCTACGTATAATTTGTGACGCAATCATACACGTTTATAAAATCACATATAAGAAATTATATATATATATATATATTTTTTTTTTTTTTTATTTATTCACATCAGCCTTCCCGGCCAAGAGAAGGGGACTTGGTTTACAAGCTTTCTAATATCCATCCATCCATCCGTACCTTAACGTCTCCCATTCTCCCAACCTACGCATATCGCTTTCTCACCCTAACTACTTCTACTTTGTACGCTATCTTAGTTAACTTACGTCTAAATTGCACTTAATATTGTCCTTCTAAAATCCACGCAACTATCTTGCAACTTGACACTTAAATCTATTCTCTATCTCCTATAACTTCTCCCAATCGTGATTAACCTCTAGCTTTCTTCTTCTTCTTCTTCTTGTTGACTAGAAAGAGTTTTTGTACTAATTTGTTTCCTTCCTTCTTCCTTTTTTCCTTTTCTTTCCAGATTCTTACTAAAATTTCTTCTTTTTCTCTAGTTTGATTATATATATATAATTTCTTATTATTTATTTTCAGATATCGAATGCAGAATTATTTATTTTCAGATATCAAATTTATCCGTAGACGCAAGACTTTTTTCCCCCCGGGCACAATACTCACGTATATAAAAAATCATCTTATTAAATTATTCACGTGAAATATAACACGATAAAAAAAAAAAAAAAAAAAAAAAAGAATGTGTCGACGCGCACGTTTCATCTTGCGCATCGTATCTACTAGTGTTGTTTGCTCTCTAATAAAACACGAAAAAAAAAAAAAANAAAAAAAAAAAAAAAAAAAAATAAAGAATGTGTCGAAGCAAGATTTTTGTGCTTGCCACTTTTTAAATCACAAAACCACAGTGATTTTAAGATAAGATAAGATAAGAGAATCTCAGTGGCGCTTCTCTCTTCGGAAGCTCACGTGATATTTGGCGAAGTTAGGCGCTTTGAGACAGTATTGTACAGATCGATTGTTGAAAACAAAAAATTTGTTTCTTTTTACAATTCAATTTCCAGAGAGAGGCCCCCGGAACGCGATCTTAGCCGCGAGAGAAATCGCGGCGTTACCTTGCAACTACATGGCGCACGAAAAACTGTCGTACGCGTTTAGCGTGTGGCGAATGGAAGGCGAATGGACCGCAAATCAGGATTCCTAGCACTTAGAATAATAGAATCGAAAGTTTTTTTGAAGGTAAGAGGAAAGATCGCGCGAAAGATCGAGAAAGAAACGCGAACAAACACGTAAGTTTGCTCGTATATTGAAAAAAAAATGTGATAAATTTCTAACCGAGAGCATCACAGATTACAGGATGCAAAGAATGAAAATGATCAGGATCTCAGCGCGATTGTTACGCAATTGTCTTTCGGCAAAACCATATACAGCAGAAACCTCAAGAGTTTGTTTAATTTAAATACGGAAATGCACGTTATTACTATATTGTATTTACAAAGCAGAAATTTAAAGGATGATTAGGGAATAATCGTACGTATAAAGAGATATACGGGTGATAACGATCACTCATCAGAGTGCGACGCCTAAGTTATCCAAGATTGAAAAGCGAAGATTATTCCCCAACACAACACGTGTGTATGTTCAATTACACACATGCAGCATTTTTTTTTTTCCCGGTTAACGCTCCGTCAATATTATTTTTTTCTCTCAAACACAATCATCAGATTTATTTTTTCACGGCTGTGAATTTTAAGGCTTAAATAGAACGCCGAAGTGCGAATTATTGTGCGTAGCATTGCGTGAATGCTCTTGACAATTAGTACTTAGATATGTTGCGAGTAACTTGTCTTATACGAGTATTGCTCACAAACATTCGATTTATTAAACAATTTATTATAACATAAAAACAAATTCCACATACAGCTAGAATTGTACGCCAAAGAAAATTTTATACTATCAGTAGATATAATTTTTTTCTCTCACAACAAAAATATTTTATATATAGAAGTATATATAAATCAACAAATGTATATGCACATTTTTTTCTGCAACAATATTTTATATGTGACTAGCACGTACATTTTTTATTTTTTTTTCGACAGTTTTTTAATCATTTGAAAGTATGACAATTAATAGTAATTAAAAAAAAGCGACAGGTAACAATAAGAAATCATTGATTATATAAATAATTCCAATATTTACACACGTCGGTATGTTATTACCGTGACACTCATCACGACAGAATTGAAACTCTATGTATTTTTATTTATATCTTTTCTTTATACTGTTCAAACTAGGTACAAGTACCGCGATTTTTTCTATTTATTTCTTTTTTTCACATTTCTTTTTTCACATTTTTTTTACTCTGCCTGTCTTTAAGTAAATACGCAAGAATATTGGATATCAATTTTGGTTTTTTTTTTTTTTTATTTCACTTCATTTTAATCTTACTTGCATGCCTTTCACTTGTTGCATGTTTCAAACTTGTTTCATTATGTGTCTCTTCGCTGTCTCATTTCTCTATCTTGACGTCAAAATATTCAATGCGCGCGCGCGCGCATTTCCAGAGTTGTTTCAAAGATTGATGCAACTTTTTTTTAGCGTTAAAAAGCATTCCGTTCGAGAATACACGTCGTGTATGTAATGCAATTACACGTGCGGTGTTGTTCTCTTCCGGTTAATTTCGCTACCTTTTGAAATTCAATCACGGCAGTTAATTCTGTCCTCCTTAATTCCGGAGTGTTCTTGCACGCTCGCTCGCAATATATAGTGCAATGCTTACAATAATTCATGTCCGTGCTCGTCGGACTATTAACGAAGCGACAACTCGCCGCGCTAGACGCGGCGGAAAGCGCATCGACGTTCTCTAAAATCCTCTTATTAGCCAGCGCCGCGTTATACGCACACTTGCATCAATCAACGAAATTATCTCGTCGCGAGAGGGATAATCATCGTGACATGATATATCTTTGACCCCGTTTGCGAATTATTAAAGCAGAATTTCACGATGTGCGCGTCAACCGTGTGTACGAAAGAATCTTAATTTGCAATACAACGAGTCCAATAAGTTTCCAAAAAGTGTTCAAAAAGTTTTTTACGTTATATTTTCAAATATATATTTAATTCTAATCTTACATATGCAAAGATGTTATAGATATAATTATATTATAATTATATGTTATAATCGCGTGTATGATATATACAATTATGTGATACATACAATATATAGTTTATTATATTAAATAAAATTAAAATATTGAGTGAAGAAATTTAATAAAAATCAAATGTGTCTCTGAGAAAAATAATATCTTTTTTTTTTTAGTAAAAAAAAGAACGTACACACACACAGGGAGGGCGATCGCGCACACAGCAGCCGTGTCGAAACTAACGAAAACATCTATAGGGGGAGGCAAGAAGAAAAAAGAAGTTAACGAGCATTTTGGCGCCCATCGGTCGGGCACAATATTATTTTTTTCTCCAAACATGACAGTCGCGCTCGGCTCTTCATCACGTCGTGTAACGTATATGTGTATGTAATATACAATATATATGTGCATGTATATACAGGATGTCTGAAAAGTTTTAACATGGTCAAAGTGTGAAGATAGATCAGGGTCAATTTGAACAGAAAGGTCTTGTGCCATTTTGCAAAATTCGCAATAGGTATTGAGTAATTAATTAATACATGTGAACCAATGAGCGCGTGGGAAGCAACGGTTCGGACTCAGCAGGCGTGTATGAATTTCAGTTGCAAAGAAAAATGGCTTGCTTCATGCAATCTCTTCTAAGAGATGAAGAGAGCAAGAGACGGAGCAAACAAGCGAGTGGCAAGTGACATAGCTTTTCGCGATCGGTTGATTTTCACAACTGAAAATCATATACGTTTACAAAGTCCGGACCATCGCTTACCACGCGCTCATTAGATCACATGTATTAATTAATCACTCAATAACTATATTGCGAATTTTGTGCAAACGGTACATGACTTTTCGGGGTTCAGATTAATCTAATCTATCTTCGCACTTCGGCTGTGTCAAAATTTTTCAGACACCGTGTATATATGTACACATTACACCCCAGTTTCATTTTAATTGCCCCACGCAAATATTTCGAAAAATATGGAAGATACGAAAAAATGTTTCAGACAAAAGTTTGTATGGTTTTGAGGAAAACAAGACAGTGCTATTAACACGTTCGCGACGGGCCGTGATTTTTGTGAAAGAAGAATGTACCACCGGTGGTACAACTCGTCGCGAACGTGTTAATTTGATCTTTAATAATTATTTGAAGATCATATAAAAGTCACTTTTAATTTCTTAAATACAACCCTCTATTTTTCATTGCATTTTCTTATAGCTTGCCTCGAGAGTTAGCCAAAATTATAATCAAATATTTTTTCATTAAGTACTTTCCGATGAGGCTTGAAAGTTACTGTATGTGCCGGCATTACCCAAGGTGTACCGGTCCGTGAAGACAAGACCCGAAGAGTTAATCGATCTCGCTTTCATCGGCTGGATCAACCTCGGATCTTGCCTTCATCAGCCGGATCAACCTCGGGTCTTGCCTTCACTGGCCGGTGGACCTTGGCTGGTGCTAATGCCGGCACATACTGTGACTTTCTCTCTTTCTCGAGATAAGCTATAAGAAAATGCAATTAAAAATAGGGGGTTCCATAAAAAAAATTAAAAGTGACTTTTATGTGACCTTCAAACAATTATTCAAGGTCAAATTAATGGGGCACCGTCTTATGTTCCCCTCGAAATCATACAACTTTTCTTTTGTCTGAAACAGTATCTTTCGTATCTTCCATATTTTTTGAGATATTTCCCACCTAGCATCGTTAGTAGCACAAACGTTTTTCCGCAACGGACCGCAACTTAAAAAGCGGACATTTTGACGTTTCCGCTACGTTACTACGACGTTTCAGAGACTTTTAACGAAACGTTGCTAAGTTTCGGAAAAAACCCCGGTTGCAGAAACGTTTGTGCTACTAACAATGCTATGTGGGTTGCCTGGAGCAATTAAAATAAAACACCCTGTATATATGCATACACATATATAAAATATCCGTCGCGGGGTTTTCGGGGGACCGCGCAAGCCGTCGTGAATAATATTCCGAATACTGTCAGTTATTTTAAACCGGTCAAAGCAGAAACTTTCGGCCTTGTTTTAGGCCGCTTAACGAAGACACGCCACGTTAAAGAGCTGCACTCTTTATCGCGCAAAAACCGTGACCGAAAAAAGAATTATACGAGTCTAGAACAAAGTTGCGCTATCCCGTTAATTAACGTTATCGAGATTTTGAAAAAAAATTATCAAATATTTATATGAATACTCGATTTAATTTAAAATTTACAATCGTGTTCGCTACGAATATTTAACAATCATATCGAACAATTAAAATATTTTTAAAATATTTTTTTATAAAGAATAATTTTAAAACATCGATTCGAGATATTGTTATATTGATAATTTTTTTATTTCTTTTTGATATGAAAAAAAAATCGAATAATCGATAAGTCGTCGACTGCGTCCGTTAACATTAATACACCCCTGCAGCGTATACGGTTTAAATTAACTGGAGATCGCGGATTCACACTTTGGATTCGCGCGATTAGCGCCTGCCGCCGCCGCCGAATTTCTTCGCTATTCCGCTAACGTTAATTGGGCCGGTAAAAACATTCATCAACGTTTCGGCCGGCGACAGTTCTGAGGGAATTTAGACAGCGGCCGAACCCCCCTTCGCGCTCTTTTTTTTTTTTTTTTTTATCCGTCGCGCAAATGCGCCGTTGCCGACCATAAATCTCTTTGAATTCAATTAGCCAAGACAACATCCACATACTCAACGTTACGCGTTCCCCGGCCCCTTTTTGGGGGAACCCCCTGAGAGATGATGCACGTCGCCGCGCTACAAAAACAAACCCGAGACGCCCTCTTCTCTCCTCCCGACGCATCCGGATTGACCGTTAAAAGACATTCGTCTCATGAAGCATTGAGGACGTAATTTGAATATAGATTTTTGAAAAACTTTGGCAACTGACAATTTATATATATCACTTACGTCAATGTGTTTTCTCAAATTAGGATACTCTTGTTAATAGGTTAAAATTTTAGTTTAATTAAAAGAATTTTATAAAAATGTCTAAAAATGCGTTATATATTGAAAAAAAAAGAATTTTTATACATAAATATGTTTGATTTTATTAATTTTATAACATGTTAACGAAGAGTTAAGTTTTTTGAGATTTAAAATCGATAACGCGAAGTTAACCGATATGAAAAAAGCCAACGCTGGATGTTTGTGCGAAATATGTATATAAGGATAAGGATAAGTGAATTTTTTTATTGATTCTCCTCAGGATTACAATATTTTTTTACAACATTCTTCTTCCACATCTCCCACAAGCAATTCAAGCTGGAGGCCCGATTCGATTTGCTTTTTTCAATCGATAAAATTTGAAAAAGACCGGCCCGGAAAAATCCGACGGTGTGAATTCGAGAACGCGGGACTTCCCCACTCTCGCATTCAGACCGCGAGACCACCAGTCTATATATGTATATATATATTTTTTCGCACAACCATTTAGCGTTGGCTCTCATTGACCGTTGGCGGTTAACTTCGCGATTTATTATTTTTTTGCAAGAGTTTGAAACTGTCAAATATCTTTTGCGCAAAATGAATTTTGCGATAATCGCTTGTTCGTTCGCCACTTGAGCGCAAACTTTTTTTTCGAACTCATTGCGTCCTCGATGGCTACACGTTCGAAAGAAGTTTCAATCAGTATATCGAGACCGGTCAGTATTTTGCTTCACCCGTCTCGGCTTTATCGTCAGACGATAGAAAAGTCGAGAGCAACATTACATTCAAACACGACAATATTTATATTTCCAAGAATCTTTTTTTTTACTTCCTTACTTCCGATCCCTCTCGCGCGAGTCGATATTGCCCGATGTGTGTGTTAGATACG